TAGAATTCTGGGCTCTGTGTGGTCACTGAGATTCCATAACTGGACGGAGGTGGTGCTGTGGATGACATTCAGGGGGTGCATCATGACACCACTGCAGAAATGGGAACACAGGTGAAGGGCTTGGCTACAGAAGCCTTTGGTTCAGACACATTGAATTAGAGGGCCCTGTCCAGGACAGCTGTCCAGAGGACAGTGCTCAAGGCATGCCCTGTGCAGGGCTGTAGTTTGGCCAGAGATATGTGTGGGATGAAGAGATAAGTAGTTGGAAAAGAAGGAATCAGGGTGACCCTGGCCACCTGCTGGGCAGTCATCACCCTGTCCGTGAGGCTGGCAGGTAACCTGGGCGTGAGTCACTGCCATTCTGTCCCTTATCTAGTCTCCCCTGGCTCTGAGCCACCATCTCCTTTCTCCACAGAGAGGCTGCACTTCCTCCAGCCACCTTCCCTGCCCCCTGGGCTCCCAAGCCTGCCATACCCCTGAACTCTTGCAGCCACTCCGGGCATCCGGCTGGGGCCCTTGCTGCCCCTCAGGGAACTGAGTGCCAGGCCCTTGAGATGACAACCTGAGTGACAGACCCTCTCTGCTACGGGAGATCTAGCAGCAAAGGGTGCATGCAGATGAAGATGGGGTGGGCTGGGGCTGTAGCCCCTGCTTTTCCACAGGTATCTGGCAGGAAAAGGGTAGGGAAGGAGAGTGGGATCCAGGCAGGGCAGAGACAGCACACTAAGGCAAGAAGCTGCTCACCCATGGCCGCTCACCACAGGCCTCGGGGCCACAAAGCAATGAGGGGCACCTGCCCTCATAGCTGGGCAGACCCTAGACCCCAGCAAAGGGGAGTGGGCAGGCAGTGAAGCCTGGGAGCAGGAAACACCATGCTGGGCTGCCTGTCCTGCCTCCCAGCCTCCTCAGTTCCCTTTCCCTCCTGACTACAGCCCAGCCGCCCTCCCTCATCCAGATAGGCAGCTAGACTGGAAAGGGGAAACTGGAGCCTCTCTTGTTCTTCAGGGGACTCTGAGAAGGGGTCAGCATAGGTTCAAAGACAGGCTGTCACCTCCTCTTGGCTGGCGTCTGGGGGGAAGACCCAGTCTAGGCGGAATCGACGATGGCGTCCCCGGTAGCAGGTGGTGACAGTGCCCCCTGGACCGGGCTCCACACTCACTAGGCTGGAGGGTGTCCCTGGCCTCAGGCGACATAGCACACGGATATTTCCTGCAGTAGGGATCAGGTCAGCAAGATGCTTCCCAGACCCTAAAGCACAGACAGGCTACGCTTCCTCCAGCCACCCTCCCTGCCCCCAGGCTCCCAAGCCTGCCATACCCTTGAGCTCTGGCAGCCGCCCTGGGCATCCGGCTGGGGGCCCTTGCTGCCCCTCAGGGAGCTGAGTGCCAGGCCCTCCAGATGACAGTGCCCCCAAGGCCCAGGACACCTGAGGAAACAGGGATGTACAGTCAGCCAAGCAGCTGCCGAGGTGGGGGTCGGGGTGCTGAGAGTAGCAAGAAGCCCCCATGGGACGCCCCAGCTGTGCTGATCCATAATTTTCACTGGCTTTGGGCCCCTGGGGACATCATTCAGTTAGCCCAGGATAAAGCCCAGGAATAACAGGCAGGGACACCACATCATCTGTCTCCTCTGTGACTCTGGGCAATGCTGTGAGAGTTTTACTATCAACCAGGTTTGCACAGGATGGAAACAAGGCCCAGAAGTGAAATCATACTCTGGGTCACACAGAAGCCGTTTGGATTTCAGAGCCCCACTTCCTAGCACAGCCAGCTCCCCAGGTGCACCCCCATCAAAAGAAAAGTGAACAGGCTGCCCAGAGAGGTGGGGCTCGGTGGGGAGGGGACCTGACCTGGCCCCGGGCCTCACTCAGTGAACCCTGACAGCTCTGGGTAAAGGTGCTGACCAATCCTCGGAGGTCCCCACAGCCCTGACGCAGGCTGGCCATCCGTGCCCGAAGTCCTGGAAAGGAAAGTCTGTTGGACCGGAAGGCCCAGCCTCCAGGACCTCCCGTGAGCCCAAGCCCCAGACCTTACCTGCCAGCTGCCCATGCATCTGCTGCAGCTCCCGCCTGCAGTTCTGCTCCGTCTCCTGCTGGAGCTGCTGAAGGGCCCCTTGAAGGCCCTGCAGCTGCACCTCCTGCACCCCCAGCTGCCCCGCCCAACCCCACCCGTCACTGAGGAAACAGGCACTTACCAGGCCCTGCCTCAGATAAGCCCCTCCCAACACCCAAGCCCTCCTCACCCGAGCCACAGATCCCTGGGCCCCACACCCACCTGGGCTCGGAGGGCTTCTGTGGTGTCCTGGGCCTCCTGAAGCCGGCCCTGGAGCTCCACCAATGCCTCCGCCTCCTCCTGCGGGAGGGTGGGGGCCAGGAGGGAACTCAGAGAGGGGCGTTCTGCGGTACCGTTTCACAGATGGGAAAGTCAAGTCAAGACATGGGCAGAGCTGGCTGTGAACCCGTGCCTCCCAACTCCACGCAGAGCTCCTTTCCACCGTCCGTCTGCTCTCCTGGGGCCAGCCACTCAGAGGGGCCATGGAGAGGGGGGTCCTCCCGCAGGCATCGGCCTCCCTGATGGGGCTGCCCAACACAGGCCACCCCGGGAGGTCCCCAGGATGCTTGTGCCCTGTGGCTGCACGCCAGGTGTGCAGGAGCCCCAGGCTGCAGGAATGGCTGCAGCTCGGGAGCAGGGTACCTGTGAAGCCCTGGTGGGGGGCCCCGGGCCCCAGTGCAGCAAGAGATCCCGCGTCAGGCTCAGGCTCTGCTTCAGGGCCTCGTTCTCCAGGGTCAGATGCTGAACCCTTTTCTCTGAGTCTGTCGCCCCCTGACGGAGAGAAAGCCTAAGCACTCACCTGAAACCACCCGCCAAGCCCCGCCCTGCCAGGTCCCCCGCAGCCTCACCACGCCCAGGCGCAAGCGACCCAGCTCCTCCTCCTGCTGTTCCAGCTGCTGCTTCAGCTCCTCCAGCTGGGAAGAAGTGAGAGAGACAAAGTGGACTTCCTTTTTCCGGCGCCCCAGCTCCCAATCCCTGCTGGCTCCTGGGGCCCTCACCTGTCCCAGGATGAGCTGCTCCAGCCGCTGCCACGCCCTGTGGTCCTCCTCCAACTGGAGGGACTGCTGTCCCTGCGCCTCATCCCCCGGGGGCTCACCTGGGACTGCGGCGAGGCGGGAAGGGCTTTCTTCTTGGGATGTGGATCCTGCAGTCGGGAGGACCCAGTTAGCACTGAAAAGGTTTTTGGTCTGAATCCTCCGGAACGAGGCTGGCCTTGGGACCCCGAACTCCAGGCCGCTCAGGTTCTAACGGGGTTTGCTCCCTCCAGATTCCTTCTTCAACGTACTCCCCCTCACTTACCATCCGGAATTGGGGGCCCGACCCGAGGAGCTGGCTCAGTCCCCTGGAGCAGGGCCTGCCTCCCCCTGGGGCTCCGAAGCCATGCCAGAAGGGCCAAGAGCTGGCTGGTCACTGTCAACAGTGGGGGCACCTCGCCGGACTGCGAAGGCGACAAGAATTGGAGCATGGCTGTGAGAGCCAGGAAGGCCGGCGCAGGCGGCAGGTGCCCGCAGCCCCTCCGCTGCGCTCACCTGGCCCAGGTCCGCCGGGCTCCCGCAGCTCTCTTCCGCCCCCAGCTGGACGGAGAGGAATTCGGCCAGGCGCAGGAGGGCCTCCTCCAGGGACACCGCGGCCGCGCGGCCCTCGGCTCCGTCTTCCGACCCATCCTCAGCCTCGGAGGTGCCTGCGGGTCGCGAAGGGGGGCGGGAGGCATTTCGGGTCACGTGCTGGAGCCTGGGCCTCCGCCCCTCCTAGGGAGGTCCCGGCACCGCCCTCGCACCGCTGGGTTCCCGGCCTGCACCTACCGGCCAGGCCGGTCAGCTCGGTCCACAGCTCCGGTGCGGGCAGGTCTGGGCGCCGGCGACCCCGGGACTTACGAGCTCTCTAGGGAGGGAGCAGGGGCGCCGCTGAGGAGTGGGCAGGCGGCCCGCGGGCCCTTCCCTCTGCGAACCGGGCCGGAGGGTCTGGGCCGAAGTCTGCGCTTGCAGCACCGGAGCGGAGCCCAGGGTCCTCAGCACTGCCCCCCGCCCGCCCCCGCCCCGGGAACCTCGGCGTGGGGGTGGGGCGGGCGGCGGGGGCGACAGGCTGCGCGGCCGGCCCCGCTCACCTGGGCGGGGTCCCCGGGGTCCGCGGCCGCCGCGGCGCCACCATCTCTGCGGAAGAGGCTGTAGAAAATGTAGATGAGCAGCGAGTAGAAGGCGTACATGGGAGCGCGGGGCGGCTGAGGGCCCCGCTTCGCGCCGCCCCGCGTCCCCGCGCCCCGACTCGGCGCCCGCCGCCGCAGTGCCGGTGCGCATGCTCGCGACGGCCGCCCCCACGGCCCGGCTCCCACGGCTGCGGGGCGCGCACGGGGACGGGGGTCCCAGAAACAGGTGCCTGCGGCTGCACCTGCAGACCGGCTGCTTCTCACGGCGCCGTTCCGCGCGCCCCAAACCCTACACCGCGGACACCGAGCTGAGAGCGCCCACAGCTCCCGCGACCCTCCTCTCGGAAACCCTCCCGCCCTCCGCGGAGTTCTCCATCGCTCCGGTTTCACGCGGGGAATCACCCTCCCCTCTCCGGAGCCCCACCCAGACCCCACCTCTCCCCGCAGCCCCGCCTAGACCCCGCCTATCGCAGCCCCGCCCAGGCCTCCTCCCTCGGCCCCGCCCATTCTCCGCTCGCAAACCCGCCGCTCAGCCCCGCCCACACCTCGTCCCTCTAGACCCCGCCCACACCCCGCCCCTCGCAGCCCCGCCCAGGCCTACTTAGCCCCGCCCACACCTCAACCCCGCCCATTCTCCCCTCGGATCCCCGCCCAGGCTCTTCTCCCCTCATCACGCTCCTTCCAAACCACTGTGCCCACGCACCCACCCAAACAGTGCATTTTCTGGTTCCCGAGCTCCTCCCAACCCCACCCGCTCCCAGCGCCTCCAGCCGACGCCCCAGGCCCCGCCCCTAGTCACTCTAGTCCCGCCCCGGCCCGCTCTAGCCTCTGCTCCTCTCGGTGGTGGAAGTTCCCGGCCAAGCTCGCTCTCGCAACCGGAGGCCTGGCGGAGGAGGCAGGGCCCGGGGCAGGGGGCGGTGCGTCGGGCGGGCTCTGGCCTCCGGCGAGCCACTGCGTGGGGACCGCGCAGCCGGGTAACTGCGCACGGCAGGCCGCCGGGAGTCCTGCGCCATCGCTCCTCCCGCGCCCGGGCTCCCAGGACGGCGCCTCCCGGAGCGCAGGGATTAGGCCGAGGCCGCCGCTCCCTCTCCCCCGGGCCCGGCACCCCGATTTGGGCTTCAGGGCCCCAGGACTCACGCCCCCCACCCAGCCTACCTAAGCCATTTTCCGCTGTTTCCCGGCTGAATTAAGTTATTCTTCCCCACAGGTGTGTGCAGTGGCCTCAGGGATCCGAAAATTGAGGACTGAATCTCTCCTAACTAGTAATGGGGCCCTGGAACCTGGGCTACTAGTGCCGCGCTTAGGGCTCCAGGTCGCTGGCTTCTGTACTTTCTTCGTCTCCAGAGTTGAATATCTGCTATCTACGTCCTCAAACTTACTACTGCCCGACGTGCCATGGCCCCCAAGCCGGGGGTTGAGTGGAGCACAGCCCTGTCCCATCTGGTGCTGGGAGTGGTATCTCTGCACGCAGCCGCGAGCACCGCCCAGGTGAGTACACTGGGTCTGAGCACGGGAGCATCCCCATTCCTCCCAAATCCCAAGGACCTAGTTTCCTGGATTAGGGTGAGGTTGGTGGGAAGTCAATCTAAGACCAGGTCTCCAAGGAAGCCCCAAACCCTTTCCTATAAAAGGAAAAAGAGTGGCCCCGGCCTCTTTTTCCTTCATGTCCGCCCTTCTCTGTGTTGACAGGCAAGTCGAGGGGCTGCTGCTGGCTTCCTGCTCCAGGTCTTGGCGGCCGCCACCATGCTGGCCCCAGGGCTGAGCACACATGAAGACTGTCTTGCTGGAGCCTGGGTGGCCACCGTCATCGGCCTGCCCCTTCTGGCGTTCGATTTCCACTGGGTGAATGGGGACCGCTCCTCTGCCAACCTGCTCCTGGGAGGAGGCATGGTGCTAGCAGTGGCTGGCGGCCATCTCGGCCCTGAGGGCCGCTCTGTCGCGGGTCAGGCAATGCTGTTGGTGGTCGCAGTGACCATCCTCATTGTGGCTGTCTTCACGGCCAACACTTATGGGATGTGGGGGGGTGCGATGCTGGGTGTAGCAGGCCTCTTGAGCCGGCTGGAGGAGGACAGGCTGTTGCTGCTACCGAAGGAGGATGTCTGTCGCTGGGCCCTGGCTGCAGGGAGCTGGGCTTACTGCCGGGCCCTGCATACACAGCGCCTGCAATGGGAGTGACAGCTGGATACAGCAAGGCAGGGTTTCTGCCCTGCCGACCGCTTCCCCTCCCACCTGCCAACTCCTGGGGCTTTTCTCCCCTAGGGGTAGACTCTCCTGCCCACTGAAATGGGCTTGCTGCACATTGACTGATCAGGGGCAGAGTCTGGGTGCTGTCCTTTGGCCATCTGTGGGGACTTGTCTAGACCAAAATGAAAGGGACAGGGTCCCAGATACATTTGGGGGCCCTGATTCTGGGCTAGACGTGGTTGTGGATCCAGAGAAGAGGCCTAGTCTCCAATAAATCTTAGGAATTTTGCAGGAATACGGAATCTGCCCATTTTTGAGAGGGATTGAGGGATCCTTCAGTGAGCTTCCTAAAGGCCATCAGGGCAGCAGCTGGTTACCCTGACAGCGTATATGCTGGAACTAGCATGGGGCCTCATCCAGCCTGGTCTCCTTTTGACTACTGTCTGGGACCCCTGGACCGAGAAGACGTAGCCCTGGGCCCTTACTCTCCTGGGACATGGTGGAGTTCCAGATATCCTGGCCTGGCAGGTGGCCCTCTGGGGCAGTGACCTTCAAAGACTGACAGCTAGGGTGGAGGCAGGGGACGGCTATACCACAGTCATTTCCAGAAATGCACATCCTCCCAGGGCTGATTTGCCCTCCTGTGTGCCTCTGGCTTGTGGAAGCCAGCCCTGTTCCCTAAGAACTTCATTTTCCTCAGTGGACCCCTTCAGCCTCCAACCCTAGGGTTAGGAGGAGGGGTTCGGATGAACAGAGGATTACATTCCGGGGGGTTAGGGGTCTGGAGTCCCTTCTCCCCGGAAGTCCCTCCGCTTGCGTCCTGTGGAGACCTATCGGATCCCGCACGGAACAGAGAAGGGTGGCCGGCGGGGTTTTTCATTTGTGCCCTTCCCCTCCGGGAAGAAGACACGAGCCTTGGGGGACAAAGACGCAGGCACACCCCGCCATAGGAGTCAGCGGCTGCGCTCCGCCGCCGCTGGCTCGTGGAGCATGGGTGCTGCGCCGATGCCGCAGCTCGCGTGGGCCTCCCTAGGCCCAGGTGCGCGTCCCTCGGTGGCTCGCACGGGCCCCGCCCCTTCCTGCCCACCTTCTGCAGGGGCGGGCCCTCGGGGGACGCTCGCGCTCCCATTGGTTCTGGTCCCTGTGCCGTCTCGCCCCAAGCGGCGCTCCCATTGGCCCCGCGCGGAGCTCACGTGATGGGGAAGACGAGGGGGCGGTGGCGGCGGGGCGGGGGGAAGCGCACAGCGAAAACAAAGATGGCGGCCGTGTCGGGGTCGGTGGCCGCGGCGGCTGCGGGGCGACGCGCGGGCCGGGCCCACTGAGGCGGCGGCGCAGGGAGCGGAGCTGCGGGGTTGCGGCGGCGGCGGCTGGAGAGCGGCGGGAGCGCGCGGCGCCCCTAACTTCTAGCCGCGGGAGCGCGCCGGCATCCGCCAGCCGGGCCCGCCGGCCGCTATGTCCGGCGCCGAGGAGGCCGGCGGGGGTGGCCCGGCCGCGGGGCCCGCGGGCGCCGTGCCGGCCGGGGTCGGGGTCGGGGTCGGAGCCGGGCCCGGGGCGGCCGCCGGGCAAGCGGCGGCGGCGGCGGCGGCGGCACTGGGCGAGGCGGCGGGGCCTGGGCTCCCGGACGAGGCGGGCTTGGCGGGCGCCCGGCAGCTCCAGCTGCAGGAGGCGGCCGGCGACCCCGACGCGCCGCCCAAGAAGCGGCTGCGGGCAGCCGAGGCGGCCGAGGCGGCGGCGGCGGCGGCGGCGGCGGGCAGCGGGAAGTTGGAGGAGCGGCTCTACTCGGTGCTGTGCTGCACCGTGTGCCTGGACCTGCCCAAGGCCTCCGTGTACCAGGTAGGGCCGCCGGCCGACCCCGACCCGGCCCAGCCCGGGGCTGCAGCCCCCGCCGCGGGGCCCCAAGATCCGCGTCTCCTCGGAGGCCAGGCCCGCGGGCCCCGGCGGCCGGGAACCCTCTCCGGCCCTTACAGCCACTTCCTCGCCCAGCGGGGTTCCAGCGCCTGCTCCGAAGCTCCTCGCTGTCTTTTTCTCCGGGCATCATTTTCTGCTCGGGACCCCGGTTTTCTGTGCTCCGACCCACGTTACTTTCCGATCTCAATCGCGTGTCTTTCTCTTATGTCTGCCTTCTCTTTTCCAGACTTTTCCACCATCCTCTCAACACTCCCCCCCCAAATCCACACCCTCAAACTGACCCTTACCCCACAACTGCTTCCCCCCAACCCACCCGGTCCCAAGCTCCCTGGACTGAGTCCTGTGCTCCAGAGCTCCTTCCCCATTCTTCTGGCAGCCACACCCCCGAGCCTGTCCCTCCACTCCTGAACATCTTGCGGACGTTTCCTTTTCTAGCCTCCTGGGTGGAAGAATCCTTTTACTTTGTCCATTTCTGCTTCATTCTGAAAAACAGTAAGGAGAGAGGGGATTGCTGTTGGTCTGGATGAAGCACTGGCAACAAGTCCCACAGTCTGGGTACCTTCTCCAGTCCCAGCCGAACCCTGCATCCGACTGGACCTGTCATGCCCCACGCTAGGCTCCTGCCCACCTCACCCAGGCCAGGCCAGGCTTCCTGGCAACCAGTGCTCCAGGAGGCCGGTCCACCCGTCTCCCCCACCTTCACATCCAGCATGGCAGCTGGACTCGGCCCTTAAGCAACTTAAGGCCGTTAGAGAGGGTACGTGGCCCAGGTGGGTTTGACATGCCCCTTCCCAGGTAGCAGTAGAGACAGACAATGGTTGACACCAGAGGCAGAGTACAGTGCCCCACCTTCCCTGTTTCTTTCCCTTTCAACTCCCCAGTCCCTGTGAGAAATGAAGCAGGTTCTCTGTCAGCTGTTTACACTTATAGGAGCTGGAAGTAGCTAATGGGGCTTTGTTTCCCTGCTTGTGTTTAAGCTGGGGGCCTGGATGAGCGGCTCCTTTTGTAACAGGTGGTATAGGGCTAGTGTGGGTTGTCGTTTCCCCAAATTCTGGATCTCTAAGTCCTTCTTGCTTTGCCATGACCTTGTTGGGAGGACCCCATTGGAGAGAGGGCACTGGCTATCACCCACCCTCCTGGGTGTCAGGCACCAGGGCCAGCAAGGGAAGGGCTTTTCACAGCCACTGGCCCCCAGAGTTAGCAGCTGCCCCTCGGCTTTGGCAGTGCGTCGGCTTCCAAGACGTGCCCACTCTCCAGCCCCTTTTTCCTGGCTCGAAATCTTCCATCCTCCCAGGCGGAAGTTGTTGTTGTTTGGTTTTTGTTTTTTTAGACAGAGTCTTACTGTGTCACCCAGGCTGGAGTGAAGTGGCAGGATTTAGCTCGCTGCAACCTCTGCTTCCTGGGTTCAAGCAATTCTCCCTGCCTAAGCCTCTGAAGTAGCTGAGATTACAGGTGCCTGCCACCATGCGTGGCTGATTTTTATGTTTTTTTAGTAGAAATGGAGTTTCGCCATGTTGGCCAGGCTGGTCTTCAACTCCTTACCTCAGGTGATCCACCTGTCTTGGCCTTCCAAAGTGTTGGGATTACAGGCATGAGTCACCGCGCATGGCCAGAACTTACTTTCTTGGGCCTCGAGGGAGACTCCAACAAACAAAGCCAATAGTGCAAGATCACAGGGGAACTGGGAAGTCTTCTTGTCTCCCCACTGGTGGATGGGCTGGAGCTGGGCCTGGTGTGATTATGGGCCCCATGGTACTGGTCCCTGGTGTACTCTGTCTCCCAGCTGGGTGGGGTGCTTCTGATGACTCTGCTTCTGACCAGAGCTCCTGGTGACCAGGCCTCTGAGCCTGGCTGGTTCAAACCGGCCTGCACTATGCAGAGCAGAGTTCTACCCTGGGTGGCCAGAGGCAAGGAGCTGAGCAGGTGTAATGGAGACTGAAGGCACTAGGGCTGCCCTAGCTGGTGGCCCTCCCTGGCCTGGGGGCTCTGCTCAGTGGCTTCCCTCGGAACAGAGCAGCTGAGCAAGGAGTGCTGTGGGCACTGGCTTCCCCGAATACTGCTGAGAACACCTCCGGGGGTGGCTCTCTTCGATGGGTGGTGCCCCTGGAAGGTCAACACAGACCTGGAGACCTGGGCCCTTGCTTGCTCTGCTCCCTAGAGAATCTGGGCACAGATGGTGTGGGCCCCCACATGCCGCCTTCTATGTGTCGTTGTCTGGGGCCCATGCTGGCCATCACCCCAGCCTGCGCTCAGCCCACCATATTCTACTAGCCTTCTTTGGTAACCATGTTAATTGGCTGCCTCTAGCCAGCCAGTGTCAGGAATGCAGCAGGTTCCACCCTCTGTTCTACTAGAACATTTTTCCTGACCCCAGCAGAACACATGGCTCAGGGTGGGCACCAGCCAACCTGTGCTCTTGGGGGCCAACTCAGTGTCCGACTCTGGTGAGGAGAAGAGGGGAGTGGCCATGCTGAGCCCCGTGTTGTCCCTGGGACTGGGGCTGTAGGGGACAATTTCATGGGCCTCTGGAGTTGGCTGGGTCCTCAGTAACTTGAGAGTTTGTCATCCAGATAGCAGATGCCACCAGCACTGGCAGGAACGCCCCAGGTGGTGTCAAAAGCAGATGTGGGCTGCATAGGCAGTTCACCCACCTGCCCCTGGGTCTGAGCCCTTGGGCTTGCAGGGCTGGCTGATCGATGGACCTGTGCCTGCACAATGGCTCCTCACAGGCTGGGAAAACCACTCGGGCGTCAGACTGAGGCCCTCATACGAACGGCTTCTGCCACTGCCACGTCCTGCGTCACGGCAGGTTGGGGCTGCAGCTGGCACAGCAGGCCCGGCTTTGATGTTCTCTCTGTGGGTGTTAGGTGTGTCTTGGGTGACTGGCCTGACAAGGTGTGTGGCCACCTTCTGGAGTCTCAGGTGGATGGCAGGAGGGCTGGCAGGGCAGTGGGGATACCCGTGTAGGAGCTTCTGGCCAGTCCAGGCTGAGCAGGTGGTCAGGTCGCTTCTGCCGGTTCCCTGCTCTGTGGCCTGAGGGCAGTGTGTCCTGTGGACACCTCTGCCTATGGGGCACCTCCTCTGGGAAGACAGCCTCAGTGATTCCCAGAACGTTGCAGCTGCAGCCTCATTCCAGACCTCCCTTCCTCTGTTTTGGCACAGCCGTTCAGACGAGGCCCAGTGTGGTCCTCCATAACACAGACCTGACCCTGACCCTTCCTGCTGATGTCAGCTGAAGCCCTGAGCCTTGGCGATGGTACCTGGAGGAAGGGACTGCACATCAATGCACCCCTTGTGGGGCATTCTTAAGGCAAAAACAAGCTCGCTGCGGTGTAAGGGTCAGGCAGGAGCCTCTAACAGATATGGTCCAGGCTACATCTGATGTGGACCAGCTGCCTCGCAAGTGCAGTCCTGCACAGTGCCCTGCCGCTTCTGTGCCCTCCTGCCTGAGGTGTCCTCCCTGCCCTTGCCCACCCCTTGGGCCCCACAGAGGCCGCTCCCCCACTTTGAGGCTGTACTCACCTTGCTACAAGGATGCCCCCCTGCCCCGTCTGACCAGGGTGAGTACACTGTCCTGTGGGCGGGGTGTGTTGCGGCTGTTGACCTGTCACTTGCTTATGCCCTCCCACCTGTAGTGCCCATGTCTCTGCCACATCTTGACAGTCCCATTGATAACAGCCCAGGAAGCAGAGATGGCTCCATCTCTGCCCAAGCCCCATACCCCCAACAGCCCAACAGTGTGCCATCCTGTGGGGGTGGAGTCCCCATCCCTGTGTCCAGGGAGCTTTGGGTCCCTCCTCACCAGCCTCCTAGGCAGTGCAGGACTGCAGCTGATTTCGCTCTTTGAAATGAGAAAAGTAGCAGGAAAGAGCGTTGTAAATTTGTTTGCTTAGGGATCTAAAACTTACAGGAGCAAGGAAGAGTTTCTGGAATCTCTGGCTAGGTAAGAATTTTTGTTTTCTGTGGTGGTTGTCATTTGAGTTACTTTTAGATCTAAGCAGCCTTGTTCTGAATGTGAGCCCAACTCTGGGACTTGACTGGCCCCCATTTGTGGTCTGACAGCAGCAGCAGGCGAGGGAGGCAGCAGGCAAGGGACTTCAAATCAAGCCTGGGCGGAAGGTTTGAGTCCTGGCTTCACACTTAATAGCTGCATGGCCTTGGACAACGTGGCCGTCCCTCTCAGGTCCATGTTTGTTCTGGGGCCTGAGAACAGGCCATGTGTGGTCAGGGCTGAGCATGTGGGATGTGCCCTGAGGCACTATTGGCCCTGGTGGGGCCTTGCCTGCATGCAGATGGCAGAGGAAGGGGGATCTCCAGCTGGCTGAGCAGTGCTTTCGGGGTTTGTGCCACAGGGAAGCCCTTTGGCTGCATTTTGGCACTGACAACCTCTGTCAAGGGCCTGTGGGTCCTCGACAGCTGGTGAGCAAGGACACTGCTTCCATGGGCCTGGGCATCATGCCATCCTCTGGTGGGAAATAGGAGGTCCTCAGGGCCTGAGAGAGCCATGCAGTCCAGGCTTGAAAGGGGTGCTACAAGGCCACCTGACCCTAGGGAACTTAGGACCACCAGGAAGACATGGGGGCCCTCAGTCACGTCAGGGCTCCTTCTTGAGCCTGTTCAGTTCATCTAGCTCCCACTAACCCCAGGGAAGAAGCAGCTCAAGTGGAGACCCTGGGTCTGCACAGGCTGGGGGTCACGTGACCTGCCTGTAGCCCGGCAGAGGGGAGTGCTGGGTGCTGTCTCAAGGATGCAGGTGCAGATGGCCATTTCTGGGCCACCTGTGTGTATCAGCATCTGCAGAGAGGCCTGGGATCTGGCTGCTGGGTTTGGCAGCCCCAGGGACTCTGCCGTGGCTGCCCACGGTGGTGGTGATTCCTCTATGCCTGCTGGGTGTGAGGCAGTGCCATCCTGTCCCATCCACCTCATCAGCACGGAATGAAGCTGGTCCTGTACTCATCACCTGTTCATGTGAGGAAACTGCGGCCCCAAGAGGGATGGTGTGAGCCCAAGGTCATGCTACTGGTGACCTGTGGGCTGGGGTCTGAGCCCATCACTGTGGCTCAAGCCCCCATCTGCCCTAGGACAGTCTGGGAAGCCCTGTGATGTCATCCCCCGTGATGTCACCCCACGATGGCATTCCTTGTGATGTCATCCCTGTGATATCATCCCCCTATGATGTCATTCCCCCTTGATATTCTCCTGTGCTGTCATCCTGCAATGGTATTCCCTGTGACATCATCCACCTATGACGTCATCCACCTGCAATGTCATTCCTGTGATGTTCTTACCCAGTGATGTCACTTGTGTGACATCCCTGTGATGTCATTCCCCCATGATGTCACCCATGTGAAGTTATCCCCTTATGATATCGTTCCCCTGTGATGGCATTTCCCCGTGATGTTATCCTGCAGTGGTATTCCTTGTGATGTAACCTATGTGAAGTTATCCCCCTGTGATGTCATTCCCCCGTGATGTCACCCTGTGGTGGCCTTTGTGATGTCACCCATGTGATGTTATCCCCTATGATGTCATTCCCCTGTGATGTCATCTCCATGATGTCCTTTCCCAGTGATGTGTGTGACATCCCCATGATATCACCCTGTGATGTCACCCCTGTGATGTCATTCTCCTGTGATATTCTCCTGTGATGTCATTTCCATGGTGTCATGCCCCTGTGATGTCATCTATGTGATGCCACCCCATAATGTCATCTGCTGTGATGCCATCCTTGGTTTTGGGGGATTGTGATTGTGGGGTACCCTCTGCCCCTGCGGGGTCTGGGAAGACCCAGCTGGTGGTGAGAGGCGGCCTGGCCTCGGTGCTGCAGCAGCTGCTCTTGAAGGTACCTGGGCTCTTGGGGGCCTTGGACCAACCCATCCCTGGACTGTGCAGAGTCCTCCAGGGCCCAGCTTCTGGTGGGTGGTGGACACAAGTCAGAATCAAGTGTATCTGGCCAGACGCTGCCAGAGGCAAGGATTCAGCTGCCCATGGCCTGGTCTTGGTGTAGAGCCAGGGTCTCACTCAGGGATTGAGGAGGCCCAGATGGCAGGGAAGGCTCTGGAGCACGTGACTGTCCTGCTGTGGACAGACCTCCTGGGCTGAGTGTTGGTCGGCCTTGGCCATGCACCTAGAGGGCGTCCCTTGACCAGTCAGAGGGTCTGTGGGTGGATGTTGCTAGTGTGTCCAGGGCACCCTAGGGACTCACTGTGTTCTGACTTGAGTGAAGCCACTGGGGCTGAAGGGGCAGTGGCCGTGCGTCTCCTCGGAGCTTGCAGGCCCTCTTGGAGGCCCAGAGGGAGCCAATTCCATGGTATGGAATTGAATGAGCCCATGCTGGAGTCTGGAGGCCCCCAAAAGAATGGGGCCTATGGCCAGGGGCTGGCCCAGGAGCTGGGGTAGCTTTCGGGGTGGGAGGCTGGCAGTGCTGGGAGGTAAGTGGCGATGTGCTTAGCAGCCTCAGTGCCCCCTTGGGAGGACCCAGGACCCCATCTTGGTCTTCCTGAGCTACCCAGAGCCAGGAGGAGAGGCCAGGTGGCCTTGGTGGGTGGGATCAGGTGCTCCAGCCCTGCCTGGAACTCCCTGGGGAGCTGGGCCGCAGCCAAGAAGAGGGCTGTTGGGCCTGTGCTCAGGCAGCTGTGCATGCAGAGCTGGGCCCAGAACTCCTTCCAAGGCCCCCGGGCAGTCTCACCAGGAAGTGTCTAAAGCTGTCCACATGGAGTGGCACGGCTCCAGGGTAGGGGGCTGTGAGAGGGTGGTACTGTGGGCCCTTGCTCTGTGCCTCCCATGGGGCAGCTGCTTCAACACCGTCTATGCTCACTCCCTTCCACAGTCCACCCACCGCTGACCCCTGGACAGGGCTGGCGGATTTTCACACCTCCTGGGGGCAGGCCTCAGCTTGTCCCCACCCCAGTCAGAGCCAGCCTCACTCCCTGCCTCAGGCAGCTGTATATGTTTCAATTTTCATTTAATTGTCGCCCAAGCTGGAGTGCCATGGTGCAGTCTTGGCTCACTGTAACCTCCGTCTCCGGGGTTCAAGCAGTTCTCCTGCCTCAGCCTCCCAGATAGCTGTGACTACAGGCATGTGCCACCATGCCTGGCTAATTTGTGTATTTTTAGTAGAGACAGGGTTTCACCATGTTGGCCAGGCTGCTCTCAAATTCCTGGCCTCAGGTGACCCGCCTGCCTTGGCCTCCCAAAGTGCCAGGTTTATAGGCATGAGCCACCGCCTGTAATTTTAATTTTTAACCAGACTCAGAACTTGAGAATCAAATGTAGGTAATGGGCGGCATTCATGTGGATGTGGATTGCATGAAAGAGGGCTTTGTCTCCACCGTCGGTTCTCCACATGTAGGTCCTTTCACTCACCAGATCCTAGGTCTGAGTTAGTAGTCCCAGAATCTGGCAGCTCCTTAGCTTGGGGTGCATGGGCTGCTGAAGCACTAGGATGGAAGCTTAGGCTTACCAGGGCCCCACGTGTGCAGGGGTGGCCTCCCAGCACTGCCAGGCAGGGCCCTGTGAGTGTCCTCTCCCTGACACACACCTGGGTAGAGAGGCTGGACCAGGGCAGGCCCCTCTGCCACACCACATCCTATTCTCAAGAGGGTGCCATGTCCCAAAGGAAGCCTGTGGCCCAGTGGCTTTCTGGAGGTTTGCATGGCTGGCAAGCCTGGGCCAGCTGCTGGAGAGGCATCAGGACAGGAGTGACCTTGCTGACCACTCCCCTCAGCGAGCTGTGAGTCCCTAGGTGGGAGGCACGTCACACCCCGTCACTCCTGCCTGGCCCTGCACATTCCACTCCAGCCAGGGATATGGGTAGCTATGTCTGTTCAGGTACACAAGGCTTTGCTCTTGTACCTCTTCGTTCTGGTTTAAGCTTCCTGCTTCTCACACTGTGAGCCCCCACAGGCTGGGACTGAAGCTTGCCTTGTGTCTCAGTGGCACCAAGTGGATGCTCAAGGCTTACGTCAAGGGAGTGAGAGAGCCAGGGTGGGACCACTGGGCATGCTGGCAGCCCACATAGGGAGCCCAGTGGGAGGTACCCTGCTCCTGCCAGCCCCGGCTACCCCAGCAGGCTTGGCACACACTCAGAGCCCCAACTCCAACTCCCCAGGCATTCCTTGTTTGCCCACCTGCCCTTGTCCTGGACCAGCTTGGCTCCTGCCTCCCAGCTCTGAGGAGGCCTCTGCAGGTAGCTGACCTCCCTGGACAGGGGCAGCTGCCTCCTTCCACCTGGGCTCCCTGGGTAGGGCTGGAGTAGAAGGGCCAGGCTGGGCTCACCTTCAGCCAGGTCCTCAACCCAGCATGAACGGCCTTGCCGAAGGCCCAGAGAGCACGCCTGCCCCAGTGTGGGAGCAGCGTCCGCTCCCCACCAGACAGTGCTGGCCAAGAGCCTAGTGTTCCTGGAGGGCTCCCAAACTCTGGATCTGTAGGGGAGTCAGGGAAGTTGCTGGCCCCTAGGAGAGAAACCTGGCTGTAAGCCCCAGGTGATTGAACCAGTCACTGCCAGAGCTGTCACCTGTGTGAGCTGGTGAGGTCTTGCTCTTGGGACCTCTGATCTCTTCAAGAACCCAAGCTGGCTCTGCCTGTCCCCCTGGAGCAGCTCTCAGTGTTGGCTACCCTCCAGCAGGATGCAGGGACAGGCACGTGCGCCTCTTGGCACCAGCTGCAGTCCCTCAGGACACCTGGCCAGAGCTGGCAGGCGTGGGCGGGTGTGTGAGCCGAGCCCGCAGGTCTGTGAGCTTCGTCTCCCTTTCCTTCTTCGCAGTGTACTAATGGTCACTTGATGTGCGCTGGCTGTTTTATCCACCTACTAGCAGATGCCCGGCTGAAGGAGGAGCAGGCCACGTGCCCCAATTGTCGTTGTGAGATCAGTAAGAGCCTCTGCTGCCGGAACCTGGCCGTGGAGAAAGCCGTGAGCGAGCTGCCTTCAGAGTGTGGCTTCTGCCTGCGCCAGTTTCCCCGCTCCCTCCTGGAGAGGCACCAGAAAGAGGAATGCCAGGACAGGTAACTGAGGGTCACCGTGGGGCCCAGGACTGCTAGAAGCCCACCCTGGTGCAGCAGGGTCCATGCAGAGTGAACTGGCCATGCCTGCCGCCTGGGCCTTGGGTACCACCCGTGCAGCCCAGTGACGGCCCCAGGGGAGGGTGCTGCACCCAGTTGTTACCAATACGTGACCCTGGTCTTCCCGCACTCTTTGTGTCTGTGGGGAAGCCCCTCAAAGGGCCCAGGACAGCGTGGGACCTCAGGGAGCTTGGTGTGGCGCTACACTGGCAAGAGCGCATGGCTACCCAGCCACTGGAGGCAGCCTCCAAGTCTCCTGGAGTGAGGCTGTGCAGGGCACAGCTGCCAGGCAGGGGAAGGAACTGGAGCTGCGGTTCTGGGCACGCTCAGGCTCACGCTCTTCCTTCCCTCCCTCCCCATTTCTGCCTGTCTCCTTCCCCTCCACACACTGCCACTCTGACAGCCGTCCTGGGGGCTGGGCTCATAGTTGCGTGTGTCCCAGAAAGGGGTTCTTAGCTGGATGGAAGCCATATGGGAGGACAGCTTGTCACAGCTGCCTGTTCTGGGCTTGTGACTGATGTGCCTGCCTCCCCAGGGTAACCCAGTGCAAGTACAAACGCATCGGCTGCCCCTGGCACGGCCCCTTCCACGAGCTGACAGTGCACGAGGCTGCCTGTGCCCACCCGACCAAGACAGGCAACGAGCTGATGGAGATCCTGGATGAGATGGACCAGAGCCACCGCAAGGAGATGCAGCTGTACAACAGCATCTTCAGCCTGCTCAGCTTCGAGAAGATCGGCTACACAGGTGAGGCGCCCCGCCGCCTGCTGCATGCCACACAGGCGTGGGCGTGGGGGACTGGCAGCCGGGAGCCTGGGGGCAGAGGCTCTGGGCACTGGGCACTGACTGCGCCGGACGGCCAGGCTCTGGACAAGCTCCCAGTGGACAGGAGGCCACCTCGGGCAAGAAGACAGGCCGGAGACTGAGCAGAAGGAGGGGCCGAGACCGACCCCAGGTGCACACCTATGTGGCTCTCTCAGCAGCCCCGCCCACCTGTCCTCCCCACCCTGGCCCCACCAGCCCAGCAAGGTGGCATCCTCACTGTGGGGCTCCAGAGCCTCCAGACAATCAGGGTCTTACCAGAAAGTGGGCAGGTCTCAGAGGGCCTGGGAGTGAGGGGCCTGCCCCTTGGAGCATGGGGCAACACAAGCACCCTGTTGAGTGAGCACTGCCTGCAGGCGGTCACTGCCCCAGCTGTGGGCCTCTCAAGGCTGGCACGAAGCCATTCAGGGACAGGGCTGCAGAGCAAGCTGAGGGTGCCCGACTCAAAACTGTAGAGCTGGGAGCGGACACCCACAGACGCACAGGCTGGACGCAGGCCCAGGCCCACTGGATCCTGTGGCTCTCAGCCACTACCACCGCCTTTGAACGTGTCGGGGAGCAGGAGCCAGGCCAGAGCCTGGTCCAGAGGACAGCGAGAAGCACCTGTTGAGGAAGCTCCGTCCCGTTACTCTCAGCCCGCACCAGGCGGCTGGCTCAGAGCACCAGGCGTGGCGAAAGCAGGGCAGTCATGGGCAGCCAGTCCCGCCCTGCTGCCTGGACTGGGCCCAGTGGGGGGTGTGGGCCTGAGCAGGCCAGAGAGGCCAAGGGCCAGGGGCTTCCACAGCAGCCACAGCCTGTGGTGAGTAGCAGCCTTAGCTGCCTGGAGATACCAGGACCTCATGGAGTCTAGGCAGGCTGGGGCCCTGTGGCTGCAGCTGTGGCCAGGTGGGGAGCCCCATTCGTGCAGGAAAGACTGGCCACCTGAGAGCCCACGCCTCGCAGAGGGACTTGCCAGCCACGGGCTGTGGGCTGCACAAGAGGACTGTGCAGGCAGGGCTGCCTGCTGACTGGCAGCCCCAATCTGGCCTGGAGCCCAAGGACCTGGCACTCCCCTCGGGCAGGGCTGGGTGCCGCAGCTGCCTGCTGGCTTTTCTGGCAGCTCTGTATCAGAACCAATAAAGTGCACTTGTTCTCGGAACCGCATCCTGTCTGTGTGTCTGCTTACCCCACCCTGGGGGACACCCGGGGCTCAGGGTGACGAGGGAGGCCAGCGTGGGTCGGGCACGCCTGGGGTGTGGCCTGACACGTGCAGCCTCTGGACTCTGCAGCTGATCTGTGGTGATTCTGTTTGTAGTTGTTCCGCCCCAAAGCTTGTGTGCGCCTCCATTTGACATAGTTGCATTTGGCTTGCTTGTGACAAGCAGAGCTCGGCGTCTGGGTAAGTTGCCTTCCTCTCCGGCTGAGCCTGCCCTCGGCCTGGTCAGGGAAGGCGTTGCTGCCCAGCCTTGCCCACACTAACGGCCGGCTTTTCCCGGCCCTGTCTGTCTCCACAGAGGTCCAGTTCCGGCCGTACCGCACAGACGACTTCATCACGCGCCTGTACTACGAGACGCCCAGGTTCACGGTGCTGAACCAGACGTGGGTCCTGAAGGCTCGCGTCAACGACTCGGAGCGCAACCCCAACCTGTCCTGCAAGCGCACGCTCTCCTTCCAGCTCCTCCTCAAGAGCAAAGTCACGGCACCACTGGAGTGTTCCTTCCTGCTGCTTAAAGGCCCCTACGACGACGTGAGGATCAGCCCCGTCATCTACCACTTTGTCTTCACCAACGAGAGCAACGAGACGGACTACGTGCCGCTGCCCATCATTGACTCCGTGGAGTGTAACAAGCTGCTGGCCGCCAAGAACATCAACCTGCGGCTCTTCCTGTTCCAGATACAGAAGTAGGGCGGGGCCTCCGGATCCGAGGAGCCGGTGGGCAGCGTCCCAGCACCGCTGCCTGTCCACCTGGCTGGCGGCTGCTTCACATGACTGATCATTTTAGCAGAGGAGGAGAACGAACGAAGCCAAACACTGGGAAAGTCTGCATGTGTGCGCACTGGGGCCCCACCTCCAGCTCACCCCTCTGCAGCCCTGCCTCCCTTCCTTCCGAGGGCACCAGAGGCTGGGCTGACCCAAAGAGGAGGTGGTGCCTCGGGCGCCCCAAGGCTCAGAGACCGGTGGCAGCAAGGAGGCCGCTGAGAGGCACAGCGACCCTGCCCCAGCCCTTCTGCACAGCCAGGCGGCAGTGTTGCTCTGTCCTTGCACGGTTCTGGCTGGGCGCAGGGGCCTTGCTGACATCAGACGGCATTTCCGAATATCTGATTGCGATTAAAAGGCAGCCTTGTTTCATACTTTCTGTTTTGTTCGAGGGGAAGGCATGGCTGTGAATGGACAGCGTGGGAGCTTTGGTTTGGCCTGGGGTCAGAGCCCGCCCCATCCCCATTTCTGTGCCCACACATGCCCCCCAAGGAGAGACTCAGAGACACTGCCTCCCCTTACACTTTGTCATGGTGTCTGGAGACTGAGGCTTGGGCGGGGAGATCCAGGTAAAGTCGGGGCTGCCCTGGCCAACCAGCCGCTCCCAGTGAGAACAGGACTCAGCCACCAGGGCTCAGCAGACATTTTCGGAAAGCAGGGTGAAATTGTCTCTTCCCAGGAAAAAGATTAAACTCCTTGCAGGCTCTTCGATAAGTCACACAATTTTAGTGAGAAAGAGTCTATTTACTGTAGATTCAGCCTTGAGGGCCCAGTGTCCCCAGGCTGTGTGGAAAGCTTGGGTCAGTGCTTCGGTGCCTGGCTGGGGGGGGAGTCTGAGGGGTGGCCCCGTGCTGCTCTCAGGGTCTACTGCTGACCCTGCATCCAGTGCTCCCTGCAGAGGTCAGATGTTGGGCAGCCCAGCTTCTCACCTGGAAGAGGTAGGCCCTTCCCATCCTCACCCTGGCTGCCTCCCCTCATGCTCCCTGTGGTGGTTGAGCTGGGCTGGCCTAACAAGGTGGGAAGGAACCCTGCCTGGAGGGGTGAGCCCTGGTTCCTTCTTCCCCTGGGACCCTCGGGGCTACTGGGAAGGGTGGCACTTGACTCTCCCACCTTTGCTTAAGAGATGTGGCTCTTCCATCCTAGCTTTTTGTTGCTTCAATACCAAAGAACTGGTTTCCTGTCAGGTGCAATGCTGTGCCTCAGAGCAGCACCACCCACCCCGCCTGGCTGCCAGGGCCTGTCCCCCGTTGTCCTGTGCTTTCCTGGCCACAGGTCAAGGGCTGAGGAATGGACAGGAGGAGCTGGGGGCAGAATGCAAGCGCCGTCATCCAGGCTGCTAAGTGTGGCTAGGCACAGCCCAGCATGACCCAGGCTGGGAGAGTTCTTCCCTCCCAGGCAGCCGCACTGCCCCTCACAGGCCAAAATTTTCTGGGGCTGTTTCTGAGAATGCTGTTGGGTTTCTACTCCCGGGCTAGGGCGTGTGGCCTGCTGGGAATGCTTTGCTGCTGGAGCCTTCTCTCCTGCAAAGCTAACGTGACCTGGCCACCAAGGGCATGGGAAGGCCCCACATTTGGTTTTCTGCTGTCCACAAAGACCCCAGCCAGCCCCCAGCAAATCCCTGGGAGCAACTGCCTCTGACTCGGGGACCACCAGGGTGAATCCTGCTGTGCTTTGGGGCTGCCCACCCCCATGCTATACCCACATGCACAGAGGGGTGGGCTATGACTGCATCTCTGTGTCTTTGGAAGTCAGATACCCTCTTGTGTAGTGTTTCCGGGTCCAAGGTGATGATGTCGGGGGCGCAGGTGGGGCATGCTTGCCCTGTCCACCTGTCTTTGGGTGTGTGTGTGAGAGACTAACTCAGCAGAGGGACAGGCCCCAGCATGTCTCGGGGTGGGGAGGGTGGAATGCTTGTTCTTCATGGGCACAGCCAAGCTGGGATGCCGGGGGCCTGGAGGCAGCAGATCTCTGCAGGTGAATGTACCTGTGTGGTTGGGGGGCCACATGGGGAAAGGAAACCCAGGGCTGGTTGAGCTCCTGCAGCCCCACCTTGGTGGTCCTGGTGGACCACCAGGACCTGTGGGAGTTGAGGACAGGAGGGGGCCGGACTAAGGGCAAGGGCAGTGCTCACACAAGGCCCTTAAAGGTGCGAGTCTGCGAATGTGGCCCAGGGTCCTCAGCAGTGCGTCTGCTGGGGGAGCCAGGCACCTGGGAGGACCACAGCATGTCCTTGGCCACCAGGGACTGGAGCACAGGTTTCCACGTATGACGGGGCTGCCACACACATGGCTGTCTTCAGGACCGTGTCATCTCTGCATCCCTATCTGCTTCTTTGTCATCTCTGAGGATGGGATGTGGGGGGCAGAGCCTAAGCTAGGCCCCACCTTTCTCCCTCACTTTTCTCACCCCCATGCCCTGGTGAGCACCACATCTCTCAATTTGCCCAGAGTGAGACATTTACAAAAGTAATAAAAATAAGCTGGGCACAATGGCTCATGCCTGTAATCCCAGCATTTTGGGAGGCCAAGGCAGGTGGATCACAAGGTCAGGAGTTAGAGACCAGCCTGACCAACATGGTGAAAAACCCCATCTCTACTAAAAATGCAAAAGTTAGCTGGGTGTGGTGGTGCATGCTTGTAGTCCCAGCTGCTTGGGAGGATGAGGCAGGAGAATTGGAGGCGGAGATTGCAATGAGTTGAGATCGCACCACTGCACTACAGCCTGGGTGACAGTGCGAGACTCCGTCTCAAAAATTATTTAAACTATAATTACTATTTTTTGAGACAGAGTCTCATTCTGTCACCCAGGCTGGAGTGCTGTGATGCAATCTTGGCTCACTGCAACCTCCGCCTCCCGGGTTCAAACGATTCCCCTGCCTCAGCCTCCCAAGTAGCTGGGACTACAGGCGTGCACCACCATGCCCAGCTAAGTTTTTTTGTATTTTCAGTTAGAGACGGGGGTTTCACCATGTTGGCCAGGATGGTCTCAAACTCCTGACCTCGTGATCTGCCTACCTCGGCCTCCCAAAGTGCTGGGATTACAGGCGTGAGCCACCACGCCCAGCCAAAAATAATTTTTTAAAGAGCAGAGCAAGAAGTGTTTTTATCATTGTTGGAAATGACTTACGTGTCACTTTTGTGGTCTGCGTTCTCTTTGGATATTTTCTGTATGTAACAATTGTAGTTTAAAAAAATATTCCAAACCATGTTTTGTCTGTGTTTCCTTACCAGAAGACAGACCCACAGCTGGGCCTTCTGGGCTCTGCTGGCCTCCCTGCTGCCCCCAGCCTGTGGCAATCTACTTCGGGCCCGCAGCCCTGCTCAGCACAGCCTGACGTGTGTATTTTGTCTGGTCAGTGGGGGAAATAGGCATAGGAGAAACTGGGTTGTCAGTTGGGTGCTGTGGCTCATGCCTGTAATCCCAGCACTTTGGGAGGCCCAGACGGGTGGAACACCAGAGGTCAGGAGTTTGAGACCAGCCTGGACAATGTGGCAAACCCCCAGCTCTACTAAAAATACAATAATTGGCCAGGCATGGTGGTTTACGCCTATAATCCCAACACTTTGGGAGGTCTAGGCGGGTGAAACACCAGAAGTCAGGAGTTTGAGACCAACCTGGCCAACATAGTGAAACCCCGACTCTACTAGAAATAAAAATTAGCTGGGTGTGGTGGCGGACGTCTGTAATCCCAGCTATTTGGGAGGCTGAGGCAGGGAGAAACGCTTGAACCCAGGAGGCAGAGGCTGTAGTGAGCCGAGATCGCTCCATTGCACTCCAGCCTGAGCCACAGAGTGAGACTCCATCTCCCAAAAAAAAAAAAAAACAAAAATTATCTGGGGGTGGTGGCGGTCACCTGTAATCCCTGCTACTCAGGAGGCTGAGGCAGGAGAATCCCTCGATACTGGGAGAAGGCGGTTGCAGTGAGCCAAGATCATGCCATTGCATTCCAGCCTGAGTGACGAGAACAAAATTCCATCTCAAAAAAAAAAAGAGAGAGAAATTGGGTTGTCTCTTAAGGGGAATTGGGCTTCCAGGAGCTGGGCTATTCTATGGACCCTGGGGCTGGAGGAACTACTTAATCCTTGTCCTGGTAGCTCAGGGGGACCCTTTGGTTTCCAAGCCACCCTGTCTTCAGCAACTCACCTGAGTCCTCTGCTTCTGAATCTCACTCCCCACTCCCTCCCTCGTGCCTCACTGTGCCCCTCACACACCCCACCAGCTTGCCCTCCAAGTAGTTGCCTTGGCTCAGAGCCATGCTTTGGATGGCCGAGGGGTTGGCAGTGCAGACCTCCACATCCTGTCCTCACACCCAGGCCTGATTGGATTTCCTGCCTCCTGCAGCTTGTGATGGCATAGGTCTGCAGGCTTGACCTGGTCCCACCCCTGCAGCCTTGGAGGCACTGAGGCCCAGATCTGCCCAGTCCCAGAGCTATGCCAGGAGGCCAGCACTCTGCTGTCGGCCTGAGCAGGCCCTGGAGCCTTTCCTGGACCCAGGGACTTGTCACTGCTCCATGCCACTCTCTTCAACAGACCTCTCTGGCTGAGGTTTGCCCAATGACTTGTTATAATTGCGAGGGAAATGAACCCACCTATCTTCCACTCTTTCTGAGGCTCCCCAGTTGGACTCTGTGCACCTAGCCTCCTCTGGGGCCTTTGGGAAACCAGCCATGGCACCAGAGTGCAGTGCTGGGTATGCTGTGTAGCCAGGAGTCAGGGACCCAAGGCATGGTAGGCGTTTGGTCCTCAAGGTAATGGGGGACAGCACGGGTATTTTAGAGGCCCAGGTGCCCCATGTCACAGGATTCTAGACATAATTTCGCAGCCGTTTTCTTCCTTTCTTCTCTCTCTCTGTCTCTCTGGCCGGGCATGGCTTACACCTGTAGGGTGGATCATGAAGTCAGGAGTTTGAAACCAGCCTGGCCAGCATGATGAAACCCCTTTTTGTATTTTTACAAAAATTAGCCAGGCGTAGTGGCACGCACCAGTAGTCCCAGCTATGATGGGTGAGGCTGATGTAGGAGAATCGCTTTAACCTGGAAGGTGGTGAGCCGAGACTGCAGGACTGCACTCCAGCCTGGGAGACAGAGCAAGACTCTGTCTTAAAAAAAAAAAAAAAAAAAGATGTTTTTCAGGTTTTCATGCTGGTAACAAGAAAAAATTAAAAAAAGATGGGTCTCACTGTGTTGCCCAGGCTGGTCTCGAACTGCTAGGCTCAAGCAATCCTCCCGACTGGTCCTCGCAAAGCGCTGGGATGACAGTGCGGGCCACCGTGCCCGGCCTGCGTTTGCAGCGTGAGCACAGGTTAACTGAATCTTCCGGGAATACAGCAGCACGCACTTTGCTGAAACTTCACTTCGGAACGCACACTCCCCTCCCGAAACAGTCCTGGGGGCCGAACCCCCAAATGCGACCCAGTCGCGTTCTGTGGAGGAGCGCGCCTGACGCCTTATCACGTCCCCACAGCCAGATGTTCGTGAATGTATCGTCCGTCTGTCTGGACACTGCGTTCTTTCCTTGCAGCCAAGAGTGTGAGCAGCTGCGTGTGAGTTTCAGCGGGAAACGGGGGCGGAAGCACAGCGCGTCCGTCCGGAGAGGCGCGGGCGGCGCGGGGGCTGCGGCCCAGGAGACCTGGCCCCGGGCGCGCTGCGACCCCGGCCTCCCGCGTCCCCACTAGGCACTTCCCAGGCCGGGCAGAGGGCTCCACGCGCGTGGGCAA